TTATACAGGGTTGTTCACCACATACGACACGGAGTATTGTAGCTAAACGATTAGATTTTTACAAATTGTAAGTTTTGGGTTCGTTGAAGGACTATTAGAGCTACAATTTAAACATATTTTTACAAGATACAGAGTGTCCCAAATAAATAAAAAATATCAAACTTGTATTTTTTTAAATGGAACACCCTGTATATTATTACATTTTTAGTTTCTACGATTAAAATAAAGGTAAATTTGATAAAGGTTTATTACACTTAAACCTTACCGTTTTTGAAATATTTTCAATTTTGTGAAATTGTAGTCGAAATTTTAAGGCTTCATTTCTCCAAGGGTATCAAAGTTTTTAATACTAAATATTTACTGAAGTTTATTTATTGATCAGTTATTGTGTTGCAATAATAAAAATTATACTACTTTATACAGAGTGTCTAAAATTTTATTTTAAATAATTACTAGCGTTAAACGGCAATAACTTGTTTAATTTAAATGGAACACCCTGTATATTTTATGAGAATCAGATGCAGAATTTAATTGTCTATCAAATTGTATTATGCCATTTTTTACCTATACCTTCAAATTTCCGTAGAAAATGCATTTTCTTGTAATTTTAAATTCATTTATCAATATATCCATGGAAGACTGACATTTTAGATTATTTTTAAAGATGTACCAAATTTTTAAAGAGTACAGATACTAATATTCTCGATATACTTTGTTTATTTCATTAAAAAATAAAAAAAACTGTTTAAATATTTGTTAAAAAGGACCAATTAAAATGATTCCTGTATTCAAACTACATTAATTGACTGTTTGCGTTGATTAATAATAATTGCTCCAAAAACTAAAAAACTGAATTTTTTATGTGTATTAGACAGTGTGATAAAAAGTAACACCTTAAAAATGATATTTCATTTTTTGCCAAATGCTTATTTGTAACAACAGAGACATTCATTTTTATAACTTATTATTATATTGATTTCTGATTCAAATCCACATTTATTTTGAATAACTTATTCACGAACATAATTAAGTACGTAATTAATTAGTATTTGGGCGGAAATAATGGTCGTATATTTAATTAATGGTATACTCTTTTATAAAGATTTAAATAGTTTTCTTTTTGCATACAAATGGGCTAGTAATATTATCGTTTTGCTAAAAACGATAATATTACTAGCCTGTACATTTTGTACATTTGTTGCTTTAAAAACAATCTCACAATGTCAATATTCCATGGGGATATTGATTGATAAATGAGATCTAAATTATAAGAAAATGCATTTTCTACGAAAACTTGAAGGGATAGGTAAAAAGTGGTATAATACAATTTGATAGACAATTAAATTATGCATCTGATTCTCCTAAAATATACAGGGCGCTCTATTTAAATTAAACAAGTTATTGCCGTTTAAAGCTAGTAATTATTTAAAATAAAATTTTAGACACTCTGTATAAGGTAGTACAATTTTTATTATTGCAACACAATAACTGATCAATAAATAAACTTCAGTAAATATTTAGTATTAAAAACTTTAATACCCTTGGAGAAATGAAGCCTTAAAATTTTTACTGCAATTTCACAAAATTGAAAATATTTCAAAAACGGTAAGGTTTAAGTGTGATAAACCTTAATAAAATTTACCTTTATTTCAATCGTAGAATCTAAAAATGTAATAATATACAGGGTGTTCCATTTAAAAAATACAACTATAGCATTTTATACTTATTTGGGACACTCTGTATCTTGTAAAATTATTTCTAAATTGTAGCTCTAATAGTCCTTCAACGAACGTTAACTTAAAATTTGTAAAAATCTAATCGTTTAGCTATAATACTCCGTGTCGTATGTGGTGAACTCGAAAACACTCCTCCGAAACGGGGAGTAAAGAAACCAAGAAACAGCCTGACTCATCTCCATCAAAGGGCAAGAAAGGGAGCGAGAACCTCTGACAGGGAGAGAAAAAAGCCAGGATTGAAAGCCGTCCAACACCGGGAGGCAAACATGGATGTATCACCAGCTTTACCGCTGTTGCTGGACAAATGAAAATGGCGGTGCTACCAAAGGATTTCCTAGAGGTTGCTCTGACCACCGACCAGCAAACGTCTCTAAAAGAGACTATACTGGACGAAGTAGTGGCGATCGAGTCGCAACACAATGATCTACAAAATGTGGGTCCGTTGCGTTTTGAGGGAATACACTTTCGGGTGGGCATGATCCTCATAGATTTTGTATCTCAAGAATCGGCGAATTGGTTGGTGGAAATCGCACCTAAGCTTAAAAATTGGCAAGGGCAACTGGTTATAGTGAAGGTAGAAAAGATCCTTAAAGGGGTGGCCATCACGGTCTTCCTGCCGAGGAGCAAAGGGGAGGACACCACCTACCTGCTGAGCCTTATCCAGGGTCAGCACTTCAATGTAAGCACATCGCGTTGGCGAGTCATCAACTCGAGGTAGGAGGATCATGGTCAGATCCTCACAATAGGAACTACCCTCAAATCCAAGGAAGCAATAAAGAAAGAGGGACGCATCTTCTATTATAGATACGGGACAACGCCGGTATTAAGTCTAAGCAGAGACCAAGTTAAAGAGGTGGAGAAAATGGAGACAGATCCTCTAGCATACACCTTGCGGGTACCTCAGCCGGAGGCAAGCTCCTCGACTGTGAAGGGTACGGAGGGCCAAACTCCAACCGTGAAAGGGTGTGTACCATGGGAGGATGAACATTTGTTGTCAGAGGAGGATGGGGAATACCCTGTCCCCTCTACAACAGGGGTATGATGGGGTAGACTTTTTGATGAGTTATAACTCAAAGAAGGGGGGCACAATAGATATTTTAGGTCGCAGTGATTAACCCCCTCTCTCACTAATTCTACATTATACATTCTATACCACTTAATACATTCTATACCACCGGGTTAATCAAAGGGTTGTTATGTTATCTTACCTTTAGTTTACCCTAATAATTTCGCGAGCAAATTTTCCTAAAGCATTATTATTTGGTTAGATCCATATCTTATAACCCCAAGTTTTTATTTTTATCTATGGCGTTACAAGAATATGTATATCAAAGATGTATTTTTATAGTACAGTGTTTTCAGAGATATTCAGTGCGATACCTGCAGGCTGGCCTATTGCAACTATTAAAAAACCTTATATGTAGTACCTGTAAGGTTTTACCTGTACCAACAGAAAGTGAAATAAAGAAAACTTAAAATTAAATTCTTGTTTTTAGTGTTAAATAATTTGATGCAAAAAATTCTTAAGGTTTCTTTAAGGTAATTCTTGTTAGTAGTCAAATTATTCTGCTTCACATGTAGCAGAGAAACTAGTTTCTGAATAATATCTGAATGACTTTGATTCTGAATGCATATTTTGTTTCTATGACTAAGTGTGGAATTATCCTTCAGTTGTATTTGTCTAAGATTTTTGTATTGGCTATCAACAAAATTAAATAAAATGTTCTAGGCTATTTATGTATTAATTTTTTTATTGTGTTTTGCTGACTCATTTCTTTGTTTCTTTGTAACTTATATCAATACCTCCACAAACATAACTTTTCTCTTTCCATTTTCTACAACATTCACGCATCTCTTCTATCGCATCTTCACAAGCGGTTTCTTGAAAATTGTTTTCTATAAAAATTTTGGTTATAAAAATTATATATAAATTTATACTGTTTCTTTACTTTTCAGGCAAGCTTGTATTCTACAGGCAAATTCTTTACACGGATCTTTTACTGGCATTAATTAATGTGGTATATATTGTGCTTTCTATTAAACATTTTATCATCTGACATCGCGTTCTTACTTATGGCACTTTACGGACTACTAATGTCATTGTCAACTCATCTGCTAATTGAGAAAATACCCCGCATATATTGTGCTATGATTGTGTCCGAATCACTTATGATGGGAGTGGTTTGTCTCTAACTATACTAGAATATTCAAAATGGGGAATGGGGTCCGGTAAACTATCCAGACACACGAGATTTAGGATCAAAACCTTAGTAGTATTTTTTAATAAAAAAAATTGTGTGTGCACTATGTGCGCATATTTGAAGCGAATGAAGTAAATTTTTACTCTCAGCACGTGTAAAAAAGTTTCACTTTAAATGCGGATTATACACCGAATTTCAAAATATTGTAATTTAATTTTGGTACTATTTTACAAATATTTGACGTTACAGAGAATGTTAACACATGATTCGACATGGCACAGACAGAAGAAAACACAATGTTGCAATTTTCACTGAATTTTTTGTGACGCGCATTATTCAGAAAAACAAAAAAGGAGTGGATTAATAGATAGAAATTACATCATATTTTTCTTTTTAATTGCTAGAGATATAGATAGACATTAATTAAACAGAAAAACGAAAAAAAAACTAAAGAGTGAAACAAAACCAAATCCAAAGCAAAACCAAACCAAAGCCACACCAAACCAAAACCAAAGCAATTACAGCACGCTTACAGAGTGTTTTTTACAAAATCAATATCAAACCACTATCAAAAATCTTTGAGTCATCGGTTTCGGCTACTCAGCCATCAACAGTTCGTAAAAGTAGGGCTGGTAGGTCTCGATAAAAGAAACATATTTTCTCTTTACCGTTTTTCAAATAACGCCAAAAATAACCAAACAATAAAATTACAAATAAAGATTTTTTGATAGTGGTGTGATATTGATTTTGTCACATTTAAGGTTAGATCATGAACCACCACTTCATTCATATTCAAATTTGGGTCGTGGACGATAGTTCTTGGACAAGGATAAAGTAGTAGTACAGTGCACAGTCAAGAAATAAGATAATAGTCATCTCGTAGGTGTTCGGGACAGTTTTCTTAGTTATTTACGCAAATATATTATGATCTAGAATTGTATGTCTCGCATACCTATGCGAATAGGAATACTATTTTAGATGACTCATAAACCTACATATTTAATTTCTTTTTCAACACAACAATGTAAAATAGGTGGAACAGTAAGTAAAACATAATACATACTAATTTCAAATTTATTTATTATAAATTACTATAAATAAAATTGTAAAAAAAGAACTATAAATAATAAATAAAAATATAACAAAGCTACATACAAAATATTTATACTAAATTGCTGTTTCGTATTTGTTGTCTTCGTTTATATTAATATCTAAAAACAACGAGTCTTCTTTAATGTAATTTCCTTTAAGTAAGGTACTATGAGGTATAAAAATATATGTCGAATTTGATTCTTGAGGTTCGTCTTCATCTTCATCTCCTTGCCTTTTTTTAGTTTTAATATATTTCATGAAGTTTTTGGGCTATAAAAAATAATTTTGAAATGTACAAGGTATCAATTAATAAATGCTATAAAAGTTTATTTTATTATTACAAAAGTAATTCTATTTATTAAAAATATTTTTTTATATATCTCTACTATATACTATTTCGTATATACAATTATTATATTTGGTGTTTTGTTGTTCTTGTTCCAACCACTTGTTCTTTTTATTAAATTATTTTTTTAGTTGTATTGTAGTCAAGTAAGTACCAGGAGGACAACTGTATTTTAAATATTATATTTAATTTAACGTTTCTCAAACAGGGTTCATTAGACTATATTTCTACTAGGTACATTATTTTTTAAAAAAATTAAGAGTAAAAGTAACTTAAATATTCATAAAAATAGAAATATTTACTGTTGTAGATTCTCAGTAACAATAAAAAAAAGGAATTTATATTGTAAACATTGAAATAACTGGAAGCTAAACTTTCTACATGCTTTTATTTAGAGCCAGTGTCTGAAGTTTTAAAGTCGATAAGAGCCATCAGTAGAAGTCCATATCAGTAGAAAAAAGAAACAGAATATCTTCCTTTTCGTCGGTCGCGCGTACACAATGCTTTTTGTTCGGCCTATTTGTTCTGCTTGTTCGTGCGCGCTCGGTTCGTTCGGGCTAAAATGTCAAAGTCTGGACACGTCTGTAGGAACAATACAGTTTTTGTCCTTTATTGATATAATGCTGAAAATCTCACGAGTTACATGTCTCACTCTACACATATTAAATTACATAGGCGTAGGATGTAGAATATTCTGTTATGAAACGACTGATGGAATAGTAGGCATCGCGGATTTGAAAAACATGGAAATAACGTCGTTATCGCATAGTCAGGATTGGAGATTTTACTTACTCCATTTACCACACCAGTATTTATTAACGAAAAATCCAAGAATATTTTAAATGCATTATTTAATATTAGAACATTTAATAAGCTCATTAATAGCAACTTCGCTTTTTAGTTAACTCGGATATTTTAACATTTCTGAAACTTAGTTCTTTCTGAAACAATATTTTCTAATTGGTAAAACGTAAAAGATTGTTAGATCTGACAACTCTGTTGAAACTGGTGGTTCATCTGGCCGCAGCTCAATACATCCGGCCAGCCGACGGCCAGGTCGTTGCGACCTGGGCCCGTATTCTGTAACTTTGAAAACGCTAAGCGCTTTTAGACGTTCAGCGTATATGATGTTAATTTTCGCTGAGCGCACACTTAATTAACGATTTCGGTATTCTCGTCTGACGCGCTTAGCGTCTTTACTGATTGCGCAGAGCGCTTTGAAAACGGTTGTCTTAAAGGATTGAACTGTCAGTGAAAATCGAAAAAATTGTGATTTTGTGCGTTATCTTGCTCTTTAGTGAAAATTATTACTTCTATAAATTTCTCAATAAGTAATTGATAATTTACGACTTGGCAGCTATAAATATTGTTCAAAACATCGAAAATACTGTGAAGAGTCTTTAACACTTCCCTCGTATAATAAGAATAATGACATATCCATAGAAAAGTAGCTTGACATAACTCAACAATAGGTTATGAAATTTACGTAACATTGATATTTTTCATTGTTGCATCCGTCAGTTATCAACTTTTGACTATTAGCTACTTAGAAATTGTGATGTTGCCAATATGTGCTCAACGCGTATCCAGAACACGATTCGCATGGCAACGAGAATACCAAAATCGACTGCCTTGCGTTTCGCTGATCGAATACCTACGCTCACCGCTTTGAAAGCGTAACGTTTTTATGTCAAAGTTACAGAATACGGGCCCTGGGCTCGTATTCTGTAACTTTGACATAAAAACGTTACGCTTTCAAAGCGTTGAGCGCAAGTATTCGATCAGCGAAACGCAAGGCAGTCGATTTTGGTATTCTCGTTGCCATGCGAATCGTTTTCTGGATACGCGTTGAGCACATATTGGCAACCTCACAATTTCTAATGTAGCTAACAGTCAAAAGTTGATAACTGACGGATGTAACAATGAAAAATGTCAATGTTACGTGAATTTCATAACCTATTGTTGAGTTAAGTCAAGGTATTTTTCTATGGATATGTTATTATTCTTATTATACGAGGGAAGTGTTGAAGGCTCTTCTCAGCATTTTCGATGTTTTGAACAATATTTATAGCTGCCAAGTCGTAAATTATCAATTACTTATTGAGAAGAATTAATTATTTCATTAATTATTAATTAATTAAATTTATATAAGAAGAATTAATTTTTTTATTATATTTTATTAAGAGCAAGATAACGCACAAAATCACAAATTTTTCGATTTTCACTGACAGTTCGACAAGCAAAACGATCCTTTAAGGCAACCGTTTTCAAAGCGCTTAGCGCAATCAGTAAAGACGCCAAGCGCGTCAGATGAGAATACCCAAATCGGTAGTTAAGTGCGCGCTCAGCGAAAATTAACGTCATGAGCGTCTAAAAGCGCTTAGCGTTTTCGGAGTTACAGAATTCGGGCCCCGGTCGTCAGTGAGTTCGAACCCTTATTCTCCTATTCATAATTATACATACAAATTACGTTTTGATTAAAAATACTATGAGCGTAATAATCATGCAGCTGGATGCAGTAACCTATGCATAGTGTGATTTAACAGAAATGTCCTAATATTTAAGTAGGTACATACCTGACTAATATTTGAAAGGTCTCGCAATGTAACAGTCCCTTCAATAGAACATGGCCAAGGTAAAAGCATGTCGTATTCTCCTTTTAGAACATGAAGGCATGCTAGTGCGTATCTGTCTTTCCATTTGTTTAAACCATTTAAATAAAGCAGAACCTACGACAAATCGTTTTTAATAAATTATAATAGAACTTATAAGTTATAGGTAATTATACAAATAAAATTAAATAATCGAGGAGATTAAAAACAAGATATTACTTAATGAATTTTAATGACCTTCTTCTTAACAGACTGATATATTTATAATATGTGTCATTACTTTATATTATATCTATAATAACTTTGCTTTATCACTTTATGAAATAAGTATAAAGTAAATCATAATATATTCGTCTATTGGTCTTTTCTGTTATAGTCTTAGCAAGAAAAATGTCAACTTAATGTAGCAAATGTAAATACAGGGTGAGTTTTCTACGATGTTCTCTATAGGTATCTGAGAAAGTACTGGAGATAGAGAGTCGGTTAAATAGGGAAAGAATTGAAGTTTTGTGAGGACATAAATATGCGCCTTTCAGATTTGTGAAAAAGTTAATGGCTTGCGCATTAAAAGTTGCACTATTTCTAAAATAATCACAATTTTATACGATTTAGAAAGTACCAGTGGCGTAGTTATCATAGGGCAGTTCAGTGCGAAGCACCGGGGCCCCACAGGAACTCGGGGCCCCGCAGAGCCATTCAAAAAAATATTTAATAAAATATACATTATTTTGGTTTTGTTCTTTACTGAGGGGCCTCCAAAAATATCTTGCACCGAGGCCTCCAGTTGTCAAGTTAAGCCACTGGAAAGAAAAAATTATTCATTGTTATGGACAAACTTTCCATTGTCATCGTATTGTCATAAATTTTGTTATAATCTTATTTCCATTATATACAGCCATATAGCCAAGGATGCACGTGTGTTCAGTGGGAAGTTAATTTTAAGTTAGTGCAATAATTATATATTTTTTTTTTCGTTGAACTTTTTAAATACTCGTAAAAAATTACTAGAAAGTGTTTGGTGTGTGGAAGTTCTAATATAAAGGTCTCCGAATTACCTTTTCCTAGGCAAGTAAAGTATTCAGTTGTTCTTTTATTTATATTAAACTACACATATATTTTCTATTTAAATTTCCTATAAATATATTGATATTTGTTCGGAGTGGCTAAATGTATTTTTCATTTAACTTATTTTTTTGTGACAGTAAACATTCAATTTATTGTTCAAATATATGCATTTTACAAATTAAATTTTTAAAATTAATATTCTAATTTGGCGCGGGGACGATATGTCCTCGACAAGGAAAGATAAAGTAGAAGCACCGCGTGTGCAATACAGGAAGAGATAATTGCAAGGCTTTGATATGTTTGCACCAGTTTCCATAGTGATTTACGTGTCCACGTAAGTATATATGATCTAGGGTTTATATAAAATATAATGTTTATAAAACCTTTTTTTAATTATACATTTGTGCCTATAGAGATGTTAGAAAATTAGGCAATAGTAAATTATAGGACCAATAAAATACCACTATCTACTTAATAACAAATAAAACTAATTTTAATACTATATAAACAATAATCACATTACCCTAATTTTATATCCATATTGATGCGTGTAAAACACCGGACTCCTAAGTACAATATCATTTTCTTTTGCTCTGGCTAGCTTAGATTCAACTTCTGTTATTCTCCAAAGTAATCTCTTACAGCATCCAGAATTACTATCGTACGAGCTAACTAAACCTGCAAAAAGCATCAATCATTTCATAATAATTTCTACTTAATAGCTTTCTATTACTTTTTATTAAAAAGCGTTTTGATCCCGATTGAAAATCAGGTTGATGAATAACTAATTCCACAATAAGGAGGGTGTTGTCTAGACTTAGTGTTTACCTAGGTAAAGGTTGATTCTCACTGTACCTTCCGTTTCCATTCCATATCCGTTCTGTATTTTTTATTGTATTGACGCTTTACATAAGCGTCCGTTTCGTATCAGTTCCATACTTTTTATTTTACAATTTATATCATTATGAAAGTTTTATTTTAAAAATCTGTATCTTTTGAAAAAGGTAATAGATTTAACTAAGAGATGAAAGAATAAATAAATATCAGCAAAATGAGCTACAAATGAGGTACAAATGTAAGAACTGGACAACACTGTTTCCAATACGCTTCAGTCCGTCCGCTAAAAAAATGTATCGAAGCAAATGGAACGGAACGGAAACGCATTGTCCTATTCATTTACATGATATAATATTCTATGTAAACGGCAGGGAAACGGAAGGTAGCTGATACGGAAGGTATAGTGAGAATCAACCTTATCATGCACAGGTCAAGTATTGACCCTAACCGAATTTTTATCGAGTATGGATTTGAGCAGAGAAGAATCGGAGTCTCTTTATTTAAATTTTCATCCTCTTCTGCCATTTGATTCAGTGCAAAAAGGCTAGTCGGTCAATAGTATTAGATGAGTAAAGATTATATATAGGTAAGATTTCGTACACGGTATGAACACAAGTTGGTGCTGATAAAAACAAAATTAAGGCATGTTAGAGAAAAAGTATTAAAGTTAAAATGGAAGTTTGCCGGTCATAGATGGATGGAACAAATGCACCATAAACGGGAGGCCTTGGGAAAAGAAAAGAAGTAGAAGAAGACCTCAGAGATGGGCGGAAGATCTGAGGAAATACGCATATACGCATTTCATAGATGAAAATGGCGACAAGCAGAGAAGAGTGGAAGAGATTGAGGGAGACCTATGTCCAACGATGGACCAAAGAAGGCTAAATATATAGAAGTACAGGTACTTGTTTTAATATATATGTATGAAGTCTATACGTACCTTCTAAAATTTCTATATCAAGTTTTACTTGGTTGACTTCCTGTATCAACGATGTCATCTCTCTTTCTTGAATTTCAATTTTTTCTGCTGCCTCGGATGCTATTTGATTTACAGCTCGTAAATCAAAAACTAGACCTAAAATATATAAGTTCGCATAAAACTAGTAGGTAAAAAATTAATAGCTGTAAGCAAAATTGTATATTAATTAACTATATTTCTGAGTTAAACCCTTTGGTGACACGACAGCAAAATAAAACACTAATTCACCACAATAATACAGCAAAACATTCTTTTAAACACTGGACGCGCGTTTCGCTAACCAGTTTAGCATTGTCAACAGATATTTGAAACTATTATACCAAGTTTTAACTATCTGCTGATACTAACATGGTTAGCCAAACGCTCGTCTAGTTTTTAAAAATGTGTTTTGATGTATTATAGTGAATTATTAGTGTTTTATTTTCCTATATTTCTAAAGACATTTTGGTGTGTCTGTAAGAGGTATCAAGAAACAATAAAATATGTAAATCGCTTGAACATTTAGAACATCCACCCGACTTGATAAATACTATTCTATGCAAAAAAAGTTTAAGGCAAGGTCGCAGTGCCTAGCACTATTTCAAGTTTTGCCGGAAACGCACTAAAATAAATGCCAGGAAATAAAATATGTATATTAAATTAAATTTAAAAAGTGTGTATATATGGGCGTTTGTATACAAGGTAGTCCGAATTGTATTCGCGAAACTTCGGTAGCATATTGTATATAAAAGTAAGTAAAAAAGTTCGTATAAATGTAGGTATGTCCTAAAATTATTTTTATTTCGTTTTTTTCCAAATAAATAATTTATGAACTAACGCTGATATTTGGTTGGATATTTGTGTCTGGGAGTTTTTTCACCATTTCCAATCATTTTCATAAATTTGATTTCGATGTCAATTGATTCCTACATTTAGGGGGCGCCACCTACAGGTTCTTTAACTATTTTGAATCTATCACTTTATCACTTTTCATCTGTACTTGCATAAACACAACACATGTTCACTACACAACATATGTTACTTCACAACATATGTTAACTAGATAGTTATATTTGAGTAAAATGATAAATCTGTGAACTTTTTATTTCTTCATATTAGAGATGAGAGCAAAACTGCGATTCTCCAATCGCAGTTGAAACTGCGATTGCGATTTTACCCTGCGATATTGCGACTTTAATATCTAAATATTATACTAGGCATATAATTGTCTGTGTATGTACATATAGATTAACTGTTAAAAAGAGTTAATAATCTGCAACTCATATTATAGGATTAAAACTTTATATATGCTGCAATTGCTGCAATTGCTGCAATTGCTGCAATTACACCTACCCTACTCTTTCTACGGTTCTCAATTATCTAATTCTTTATCCAATTCATTAGATTATAACTTTGATTAAAACTATTATTTTAGACCTAATTGTCAAAATAAAAAAATATAATAAAATGTAAATTATACCTACTAGCTGTTTTGGCCTTTTGCTCATCTAAAGCTAATCTCGTATTATCTATATCTAAATTGACTTTATTCAGCATATTGATATTATCATTCCACATATGAGCCATAGAATTATTGTTATCCTTAAGAACATTACTAAGATCTTGAATATTTCTAGCAAAATCCATTTCTGTCTTTTTAAAATGCGTATTTTCTTTGTACACCGATTCTTTAAGAATATTTAAATCCATTTTGAAATGATCCACTTGAAGCAGCTTTTCCTGAATTGCTTTAAACTGTTTTTCGTATTCATTATTTGTACTTGGTTTAAATGTGGATTTTATTTGGGAAATCTAGAAAATAATAAAATAGACATTAGAAAAGTGTATTAATTTTATTACTAATTAAAATTACTGAGAGTCAATACTCCCAGTCGGGTGCCAGGGGAAATCCCCCTCTGGCACTTTTGCTGGGTCTAATGAGCATCTTGGTGTCTTGACCCTTGCTGTAGTGTCGTAGCACCAAGAGGATAAGAATATAACGATGCCGGATGTGACTACCCTATCCGTCATACCAGTCACCCTCTACTGTCTGTGGTAATATCTGACAGGCAGAGGGTGTGGAGAGGGTGTCTTGGCTCGGACCAAGAGTAGATAATCACAAACATAAATCCTACGATGGTGGGACCAAAGTGATGCGTGGCCAGATATAAGACCAGCTTTTTCTGGTCTCAACCTTGGGACACCCCCTTGTATTTACATTGTTCTTATTAACCCTTGCGGTAAAGCTGGGAAGAAATATCCTAGCAACACTGGGAACATTAACAGTGCAACTTCAAGGGAGGACCAACCCCAAAGGGAACTACAGGATAGGAAGCTGACAGTTGATTGTACACAAGCTACGACTTCCTCTGGTAAGAGTCGGGAGCCTACCTCTTGATCCAAAAGGCTGCACAAGTTACTACTTCCTCTACCCGGCTTGGGTCAACCAGGCGGGGTAGACGACCCGCTGAGAGTAGATCTCAGCGGAGTAGGAGAACGGAGATACCTCCGACTTATCCACATAGGATTTGATCCAGAGAGAGCAAAAGAGAAACTCGAAAAAGAGGAGAGTAAAGGAACCAAGAAACAGCCTGGCGCATCTCAACCAAAGAGCAAGAGAAGGAGCGAGAACCCCTCACCTCTGCTTTGGCAAGGAGAGAAAAAACCCGGATGGTAAGTTGGTCAGTCATCAACAGGAGGGAGGAGGGCCATGGTCTGAGAAGGTCGCATTGGATCAGGCCGTGGGTCACCTCTAGGAATCTAATATAATCTAACCTATATTTTTATTTAGTTTGGGATAGTTTAGAATAAGAATTTCTTGGGAATTCTAATTCTTGGGATTATTGGGTCGGTTTGTATATTACTAAAATAAAATATTATATGAAACAATTGAAAAAGTGTACCAAGCAAATGGCAAATTAAACCAAAAAATATTTTTATATTAATAAAAAAAATCTTAAAACTTACGTATTGTTTATGAAATGTCTTTATTTTATTTTATTTAAAGCGATCTATGTTGATATACTTAGGATTTTAGAAAAATTTAGTTATATAAATAATTTATCTGTAAATATAAATTATGTATCTTGATAGCGATATCTTCTTCTTACAGTACCATACTCTCTACAGAGCGTTGGCTACTTCTCGCATGTACTTGTGATGTGTGTCATCAGTGTTTCACAAGTACACAGGACCTACAGTTCATCGCCTAATCCGAACGGCACTATTTGAGAAGCTGTACAAAGCAAATATATTCAAGGTGGTTTGCCATTGCCTTCCTTGAGATGGCGGCTCGCTGGGTCGTTCTATTTAGATAAATCAATATTTTTATTTAAATAAATAAAGCGACCGTACTGGCTGAGGATCGAACCCAGTACCATCCCATCTCTCGCATCGCAGATCGACACACTAACTGCTTGCGCTACGGCCGGCCACAAAAAATCTTCGATGAAATATAAATACCAAGATACATTATCTACACCGCCACTTAGATTTAGGAATGTGTCCTAAAGCCTTGGATCAAGTCAACGAGATGCTGCCATATAAATTATAATTGTTCACTTCTACTAATTAGAAGATAATATAACAATTTATTATCTCTTATTCATAATCTATAAGTATATAAAAACTTTGATTGGCTGCAGTAAATGCAGAACTTGACAAAATAGATAATATTCATTATACACTACAATATAGATATTGCAATATGGTTTAAATTAGATACTTTAGAAGAAATTTGAAAAGAATAACTGAGTAGATCTTACCTGCAAGTCAATATTTTTCTTCCACTCAGATATAATGGTTTGTGTATAATTGATTTTCTGTAATGCTAATGAATGTTGATATAAACTAGTTTTAATTTCATCTAAACTACGTCTTGAGTTATCGTTTGAGCCATTTTGGAGTTGCTTGAATGCCAAACTGGCCTCATGGTCTGAATATCTTTTTCGGACATTTACTTCGTCTTGGGTTTTGGGGGTACTTGTGTAAATTCCATTTCGGTCTACAAATGAAGATGATTATTTTAATTTGTCATTTTTAATTTGCCTTAACTGACTCTATACCCGCTAGTGTTTTCGTATGGTTAAAATTGTACTTATAGCTCCATATACAGGGTGGTCAGAACTGTATTCCGGAAACTTCAGCACCATATTCTGCAGATAAAAATAAGTAAAAAAGTTCTTATAAATGTATGTGCTAAATGTATGTCCTAAAATGCTTAGAGATATAGGGTGTAGAAGTTTCATTTTTATTTCGATTTTTTCCAAATAATTTCTGAAGTAACATCAATATTAGGATGAAATTTGGTGTCTGGGAGTTTTTTGTTATGAGAAATTCGATTTTGATATCAATATGACTCCTACTTGTAGAGAGCGCCACCTACATATTTTTAAATGGTTTGAAGAGTAATAACTTTTCGTCCGTACCTGTATAAAACTACCAAGTAAAAAAATATACATTTACGACGTTTTTAACGTAAAAAAGATCTCTTAATAAAAATCGCTACGAGTAATAGTTCTCGAGATATTTGAAATCGAAATTATCAATACCTGTCATCATTGACATAAATTAAACATGTCTAAATAGTTAATAGAGGGAAATCATAAATTTGAAATGTTTTTGTGCCAAACCGTCATCAATCATCATTTTTTCGAAGAAAATTTTATCATTAAATTAAAAAAATAAAAATTTTCCAAATTTATCTTTTTAGTCAAACTATCTACTCGACATGTTTATTTTTTGTCAATAATGACATGTATTGACTATTCCCATTCTAAATATCTCGAGAAGGGTTGCTCGTAACGATTTTTACCAAGAGACATTTTTTACGTAAAAAATACGAAAATGAAAATTTTTTCACTCAGCAGTTCTATACAGGTAAGGACAAAAAGTTATTACTCTTCAAAACAGTTAAAACACATATAGGTGGCGCCCTCTACAAATAGGGGTCATAATGAGATCAAAATCAAATTTCTCATGTCAAAAAACTGACAGACACCAATTTTCATCCAAATATTGACGTTACTTCAGAAATTATTTGGAAAAAATCGAAATAAAAATGAAACTTCTACACCCTGTATCTCCGAAACTAAGCATTTTAGGACATACATTTATAAGAAGTTTTTTCCTTCTTTTTATCTGCAGAATATGCTCCCTAGGTTTCCGGAATACAATTCGGACCACCCTGTATATTAACGATAAATGTACCGCATTATCGAAAAAAAAAACGGCTGGGGAATAATTATAATCGATGAAAATTTTAACGAGGTCAATCTCTAGACACCATTTACTAAGAATTGGCATAAAACTTGTCAAAAATTAATACACATTATAGAAAGATTAAAAAATGATACATTTCCAGAAACCTAAGTCTCTTTCCAAAAAAGATTTTTTACTCAATATAAAAATTAATTACAAACTTCTTAAGGCCAACTGGGAGTAAGCGCCATTAAAAAACAATGACGAGTACGGGCGAAGTAATGACGTCAGGTCTTGACTTCGCCAAAATTCTCATCGATTGCCATTCCTTAGCCGTCTTTGACGCCGTTTTTTTTTCAAATGCATATATCATTAAATAGGTTGTTCCCTTCTCATGTGTCATTTTGTTAGAACTCTCAAGCAAAGCGCGCACTGAAGTGATGTGGCCGTGGTGGGGCATAGGAAAATGGTGATTAACTAGCGTGGCACTGGAATAGCGGCGAAGTGACATGAAAGTGAAGTAATGCGCACTGCAGTAGCAAGCGACGTTGGAGTTACTGCTTCATCTCATCAGTAATTTTATTATTATCAAAAATGTCATCAGCCTCAGAGGATGAACTATACTAATACTAATACTAATATAGTATAATAAGTATTATACACTAATACATTAATATAAGAAGAAAAAAATAAAGAAAAAAACATTGTTATTGGGTTCATCCTTTTTGACAGAAAAATAAAACGTTTGGTATTTTTAATAAGGTTTAGAAAAAGGATTTGAACATTTGAACCTGGACAATATAATTACGTATTGAAAAGGCAGTTACAATTCAAACTGCATGTGGTCACCAGCTGCTTGCCAGTCGAAAATTAAACTGGTCGGAGATTAGTGGCACCCGACTGATGCCACGTCACTTACAAAAGACCGCTCCATCGCCACTCCACTCTTATTAGCTCGACAGCATTTCTTTACGTAGGCTTTAGCAGATCCACTTTTCACCCGATTACCACGCCGCTGCCACTTCACTTACTTACCACCCTAGTGCGGGCCTTGTCTTAAGGTGAACGCGCACTGAATTAGTACCTGCCGGTCCACACAGTAAAGAGCAATAATCAATTTTCACATTACATAGAAATAAATGTAATCTCGCACACTGAATCAGCACAGACCGGCCAGCAACGGCGACAGCGACAAATCGATATAGACGGCGTTTTAGTAAGTGTTAAAACTGCCCATAATTCTTTACTGTGTGGACCGGGCGAAGTCGATTTAGTTATATTATTATTCTACATAAAAATTCATACTCAGTAATCACTTAATATTACATTTAAATATTAAAATACCTAAGTTACCTAATGTATTTACTGTGTTTGCTTGTTTTTGGACAGGCCTTTTTAAATTATTGGTATTATTCACGCATTCTAGGCTATGTTTAGGCATATTACTTCGCTGTATATATGCTCCACATTTAAAAGTGCAAGGAATCAGGACTTTGGAGCAAACAGCGGCGTGTCCCTAAAAAAAATAAAGCAATTATTAAATTTATAAGCCTTTTAATATTAAAAAAAACTAAGCATTATTGATATTCTTCTTCTTTCAGTGCCATACTCTACATAGATCATTACTCAGTGCAATACTTTACCTCTCGCGTGTACTTGTGATGTATGTCATCCAATGACTAAAGAATACAAGGACATGTAACGCCCATATACGGGCTCCAGCAAAATTTGTGATGTAGAGCAAACAATAGTTAATCCGAGTAGTGCCATTAAGTATCTTGGTGTATGGCTGGACTCAAAACTGGCGTTCGGGGTACATATTGACAAAACTGTTGTTAAAGCGCAGAAGACGATATCGGCATTGACTAGTCTCATGCCGAATATCAGGGGTCCCAAACCATCCAAAAGGCGTATTCTGGCAAGTGTGGTACATTCGCAATTACTATATGCAGCACCGGTATGGCATACTATAACGCAGAATAAAAAAACAACTGCAGAAACTTATAAGAGTGCAGAAAACAATATGCATCAGAGTTTGCTGTGCATACAGAACAATATCTGGTGAAGGTGCTTGCGTTGTGGCTGGAATTCCTCCAATAGAGCTTCTAATAAAAGAAAGATATGCAACTTACTGTGAGTTGCCAAGGCAAGAAGCCCGAAGTAAAATGATTACTGAGTGGAAAAATAAATGGGAAAATGGAAAACATGGCAGATGGACACAAACTTATCCCGAACATTGAAAAGTGAATTACTAGAGGCTACGGAGAAGTAGACTACTACATAACGCAAGCGTTGTCGGGTCATGGGTGCTTTGGTAAATATCTGTTCTGATCGAAAAAAAAGACCACACCTCAGTGTATATATTGTCATGCCGAATATGACGCAGAACATACTTTATTTGCATGCTTTAGATGGGATCAAATTAGAGGTCAATATTTGCATCATACAAAAATGTGTTCAACATAGGAAATGTAGCAAATAGCTTAGTTGACGGGGAAATGCCTGGGACAAAGTTACAATGATTATAAGACATATTATGGAAAATAAAGAGAAAGAGTCCCAGATGATGCAAAGTCTGATAGAAGAAGATTAAGGACAACGGCCGGATTGAAGAAATGCGAAAGGCAGAGGAGGGTTTTTTAGCCGGTAGGAATCCGGCACTACCCTTTCGGGGTGTCTTATGCAAGATTTTCTCCCTCCTCAAAAAAAATGTATGTATGTATGTATGCATTTATGTCATCAGTATGATGTATTCATAAGTACCTGTATATAGGCCTTTATTATCGGACCAGTTTATCGCCGAATCCGAACGGCACCATTTGAGAAGTTGGTAGGTTGATAAGCAAATATACTCGGGGTGGCTTGCTGATTGCTTAGATAAATAGATATTTTTATTTAAATAAATAAAGCCACACCCTTCTGGCTGGGGATCAAACCCAGTATAGCTCGGACAACAATCGCCACATTACAGCCAGAGCCACTTCCAGCCATATTATTAATAATATGTATTAAAAAAATCTGTGTGGGGTTGCTAGTCCCCCATCGTGGCGCCTCCCCAGGTGGCGGATAGGGGAATGCCTCCCAGATATGGGTGGTACCGGGGAAATGAAATACCCGGGGCGGACCAAAACTAGCACTGAGCAGCGGCAGCTGGCTACTCAGAACTGACCCCAAGCGAGGAGTGAAGAAAAACGGCAGAGTGGAAACCACAGAAAGGCGTTTGAACAGCGATGAGGAAGGCAAGAAGAAACCATCTCATTATATTTCCCTAGTATAATCATAACAGATACACTTAAAACAATGGCACTTAGTCCCCGGCAGTCCTTCAATGGACAAAGGGTGCGAAGAATCCCCGGGAGGAAATGAAAATTAGAACGTGGAATGTTACAAGCCTTTTCCAGGCTGGCAAACTGTGCAACTTAACACTAGAAATGAAGAGACTGAAAGTTAATATCTTTGGAATTAGTGAAGTCCGATGGCCCGGTAGTGGCAAATGCATAACTGATGGACGAATATTTTACTACTCTGGTAGTGACAATCAACAAAAGCATCCAAACGGTGTTGGAATTTTGGTAGACAAAGAAACAAATAAATCCGTTACAGGTTTTGTACCCCTCTCAGAGAGAGTAATGATGATACAGTTAGAAACATCAAAGATACGAACAAATATAATTCAAGTGTATGCCCGAACGGCACAAAGTGAAAACAGAGAAATTGGTGAATTTTACGGACAAATAGAACAATTATGGAAGAACATTAAGAAACACGAAGGGACAATTGTAATGGGAGATTTCAATGCCAAAATCGGTAGAGGAGGAGTTGTGGATGTCATAGGAGAGCACGGACTAGGACAGCGTAACGAGAGAGGAGAGGGTCTGGTTGAATTTGTCCAAGGGAAAGATATAGTAGTGACAAACACCTTATTCAAACTACCACCAAGAAGATTATACACGTGGAGATCACCACGGGACACAAAAGATAAAATAGTAAGAAACCAGATCGACTATGCCATGATTAATAAACGATACAGAAAGAGTATATTCTCAGCCAAGACATATCCAGGGGCAAACATGGCATCGGATCATAACCCTGTAGTTGCAACATTCAAACTAACACTTTAAAAGGTATCAAACAGTCCAAGAAGAGTACCAAAATGGACGTCACAAGATTAAGAAACAGCGAAACTAGATCAAGGGTTGAAAAACGACTTACAGAAGAGTAGCAAACATCATACAGTAGAGATAAGGGAGACATAACCATCGAATGGGAGAAAATTAAAGACACAATTCTTGAAATAGGAAACAGAGTTGAGCTATAAGAATGAGAAAAAGAAAAACGAATGAATGACCGATGAAATTATCGAAGTAATGAGAACAAGAAGAGAGGCTAAAACCACTGAAAACAACAGATACAAAAGTATACATCGGGAAATACAAAAGAAAGTAAAAGAGACGAAAGAACACTGGTTGAATGAAAAATGTGCTTAAATTGAAAAACTACAAAAAGTACATGACGCAACAACGTATACGTTGTATATAATAACGCAACAATATACATAAAAAAGTTAAGGAGATCACTGGAAATTATAAAAAGAGGAACGCAAATACACTGGTGGATTATGATGAGAATATAGTAATGGAGCTGACATGAAAGCTTAAGACATGGAAAACATATATCGAAATGCTGTTCGAAGATGACAGAAATAGACCTTTACTCCCAGAAAATGATATAGAAACCGGACCACAAATAACAACAGATGAAATAGAATATGCGCTGAAGAACATGAAAAACGGGAAAGCACCTGGCCCAGACGAACTGCCCATTGAAATAATAAAACTGCTTAAGGAACATAGCTTGGATGCACTTGCTGAGCTCTTCAATGCGATCTACAGATCAGGAACGATACCAAAAGACTGGTTGGTGTCGACTTTCATTGTGATTCCTAAGAAAGCCAACAAGATTATGTAAAGATCATAGGACTATAAGCCTAATGAGCCATACACTGAAATTATTATTAAAAATAATTCACAACCATGTGTATAAAAAACTGGATAACGACATCAGCGATACACAGTTCGGGTTCCGCAATAGGGTTGGCACGAGAGAAGCATTATTTAGTATAAACGTTTTGACTCAGCGCTGTTTGGATGTCAACAAGGATGTGTACGCCTGCTTTGTGGACTATGAGAAAGCATTTGACAGAGTCCGTCATGAACAACTTCTCAAAATTCTGAGAGAAAAGCAAATAGATACCACAGATGACAGAATTATTGAAAACCTATATTACGACCAAACAGCAAACATCAAAATAGACAACAAATACACGGAAAACAGCAACATCAAACGTGGTGTACGACAGGGGTGTATACTTTCCCCGCTATTGTATAAAATGTACTCGGAAGTCATCATGAGGGAGGCATTATACAATGAAGCAGCTGGAGTAGTAGTAAACGGAGTTCCTATAAACAATATACGATACGCAGATGATACCGTACTGCTAGCAGAAAGTATAAAGGACCTGCAACGAATGGTCCAAAAAGTGTATGAAACAAGTATCCATTATGGCTTGAATATGAACCTTAATAAAACAAAATTCATGATATTTACCAAAACACTAAATCAAAATACTCAACTGATCGTAAACCATCAGATAATAGAACGAGCCTGTAAATATAAATATCTAGGAACCCTGATCAACGACAACAATGATTACTCATCAGAATTATAAACGAGAATTGAAATAGCACGTAACATCTCTATTAAAATGAAGCAATTCGTTTGTTGCAAAACTTTAAGTAACCACCTTAAAATACGAATGCTAAGATGCTACATATTTACAGTAATGCTCTATGGTATAGAAGCGCCACTCTAACAAAACAAATGCTTAAAAAGCTAGATGCCTTCGAGATGTGGCTTTACAGAAGGGTACTCCGGATATCATACGTTGACAGAATTACCAATGAAGAAGTCTTACGAAGAGTCTCAAAAGATCTAAAATTGTCCCAAGAGGTGAAAATCAGAAAACTCCAATATATGGCCCATGTAATGAGAGGTACAAGATACAAGCTTCTACAACTAATTATTCAGGGTTAAATAATAGGGAAGAGAAGCATATGAAGAAGACGGATATCGTGGCTTCAAAATCTCAGAAAATGGTGTTCAACTGTACATCAAACGACCTGTTCAGGGCAGCAGTCAACAAAATAAAATTAGTCATGATGGTCGCCAACATTCGCAAGAAGTCGGCACCTTAAGTAGAAGAATTAAAAAAATAAGTTAAATTATTTATTAATATTGTTCAACTAATCTTATTATAAACATGTAGAATAATGTAAGCTCAAGCCAATCTAAAAAAAGTTTATTAATAAAAAGCTAATAAAAAGTCCAGTTTGCCTGGAAATGACGATCGAAAGCATTTCCCATATAATTTTACATATGACAAACAAAATGACAGCGATCTTTATTATATATCACAGTCATCACTGACGACGTTTTTTTTTTGATCATATTGTATATTTTGCTCTTTCATCATGCACTCAAAATATTATCTGACCTAAAGACTAATTTACACTTTGTCAAGTTGCAAGTGATAGTGTTAGGTGCTTGGTAAAATTGATATGTTAAAAATAGTGTTATTATAACAAAATTATAAGTGACAATTGCGAGTTTACAAGGCCATTTGAACGTTATAATTCTATAACTGTATATGTCATTTTTTATTGTTTAACATGTTAAAAAATATAGTTAAAAAGCGGATTAAATACTCATATAATTATTTCTTTATCTATTCAATTATAAAAATATGAGACAATTTCCAATATTATAAATCGTAAATTATTATCTTATATTTCAAATATAATTTTCATTAATTTTGTAGGTTAATGAAAATAACTAATTTGAAATGTTGAAAAAATGTATTACAGCAAAAAATAATTTCTTTAAAACATTCCAGAGAATAGAACCAACCAAATAACAAGTTTAAAATCAGCAAACAAGGATAAATTTATGGCATACTGTATAATTTAGTATACATATCTTCACATAAATTATTTTTTAAAATTATTTAAAAATCTAATTTAGTTACAAATTAGAATGTCTTGTCATAAGGTTCGTCAAAAAGGAGATTTTTTATTCTCAGAATTAACACGAAAAGCAATTTCTTCAATTCCTGGTGTTCCCCTAAATCGATTGTTTTTTATTCTACATGTGAAATTCTAAGCATATTTACTATTATAATATCTTTCATTTAGTAAAAGTAATTTTTACTAATATATCTTATATTTTTATGAACAAAATATAATATTCGAATTAAAAAAGAGTAAAAATATTTCTAAATGATTTGACTTAAGTTCGCTTTAAATAAAATGTAGTGAAAATTAAAATCTAGTAGCTTATCAAAAGTTTTTTTTTATTAAAGTAAGTTCATTTTAACCTGGAAAATCAGAACCTCACACTATCAGGGGTGAGTCAACGATAGTAGATTTGTTTCGAGGTTTACAAAAAAATATTAAATATAAAAGTTATAGGGAAGGTTAAGATATACATTTTAAAATTATTATTGAATATACAGGGTATTCCAAAAAAGTGTGGTCAATATAACATATTTTTTTAAATGCAGCACACTATTTTTTATATTATTTTTAGATTCTGCGTAAAATTCCATAACTTTTTTATATATAATGTTATATACCTAAAATTAATTGTTTTTGTAATATTTAAATATGTTTAAACAAATAGTGTTAGATTGCAGTGTGATAAAAAAAAAGTCAGTGATGCCATTGTTTCTGAAGTTGGACAACTAAAATTTGGTAGGAGAATTTTATAGAGATGTAGAAAACGACCTATATAAAGATATTTTAGTTAGGTGCTACAGGGTGTTCAAAATAATTATGAATTTCAACTACTTAAATTTAAGAAATTTAATTTTTTTTAAAGGGTACACCCTATATTTTATCATTTTTTCTGATAGATTTTACAAAACTCTTAAACTTTTATTAAGTATATCGTATACCGATTTTTAATAGTTAGCGATTTATTCCAATTTTTTTCTATTTTTACCCATATTTTTATTTTTTTATAATTACACTATAACATTATAGTTGACATAGCAAAAAGTAATAAAAAAAGTAATAAATTATCAAAATTTCATGTCTGTTAAGCAAGTTAAGAACAAAATTTGAATTTTAGTTTAATTTGTTGTAATGAGTATAAATGGTAGAGATAATAGTTACAGATTTTCCTTAAATGAATCTTTCAACATTCTTCATTTCCATCAACAAAAAATAAAATAAAAAAAAGATGGCGGGACCAGGTCAAAGGGATGCGTGGCTAGATAGAAGACTTTACTGGTCTCAATCTTGGGGAACCAAGTGGACCGATTATCCCTAGCGACTCGTGGGAACACTATGAGATCTAGTATTAAATTAAAAAAATTAAACACCAGCGGTGAAGCTGTGGGGAAGCCCCCTAGCGAAACTGGGAACATTACCAATAAAAGTTCCAAGGGACCAAACCAACGGAAACTACAAGAGGGGCGGCTGACATTTGTTTGAGATCATCATCCTCTACAAGTGGCACACAAGCTACCACGTTCTCCAGCAAGGGTCGTGAGTCTATCTCTAGACAAAATAAGCGACACAAGCTACCGTTTCGCCTACCCGGCCTGGGTCAACCAGGCGGGCTAGATGCTTGTCTGAGAGTAGGTCTGAGCGGAGCAGAAGCACGGAGATACCTCCGACTGCTCCACGAAGAACTTGCTCCAGAGGAAGCAAAAGCGAAAACACTCCTCCGAAAAAGGGAGAGTAAAGAATCCAAGAATCAACAAGAGAGGGAGCGAGAACCTCTCACCTCTTCACCTGGCAGGGAGAGAAAAAAGCCAGGATGGAAAGCCGTCCAACAACGGGAGGCAAGCAGTGACGTATCACCAGCTTTTCCGCTATTACTGGACAAGTGAAAATGGCAGTGCTGCCAAAGGATTTCCCAGAGGTTGCTCTGACCACTGACCAGCAAGCGTCTCTAAAAGGGGCTATAGTGGATGATAGTGGCGATCGGATCGCTGATGTGATCGCAGGTGGAGAGAATGGAGACAGATCCTCCAGCCTAAAACTCACGGGTACCTCAGCCGGAGGCAAGCTGCTCGACTGTGACGGGCACAGAGGGTCAAACTCCAACCGTGGAAGGGTGTGTACCCTCGGAGCAAGAACATCTGTTGTCAGAGGAGGATGGGAACTGTCCCTGTCCCCTCTACAACGGAGGTATGATAGGTTATAGACTGTGTGATGACTCAAGAAAGGGGGGTACACTAGATCTTTAAGGTCGCAGTGATTAACCTCCCCTCTCACTTATTCTATATTCTACATAATAAAAATGAAAATATCTAGGAAAATCTTTGTTTGGGAGGTATGCCAACTTAATAGTAGATTACTTATATTCAAAATATAAGGTATTAAAATAATTTTAGAAAATATAAAGCACAGTATACAGAATAATTAATTGTTGTCTATTCTGTGCTTATAGGTAGGTAAACTACATTAAATTAAATACTTGCTTATGCTCCTATGACTAAGAGAAGTTAGTAATTTATTTCTAAACAATAAAGTGTGATTGATTTGAAGAATATGTTACAACTATATACCTAATAACAAACATTACATAAAGAATATTTATTTGCATATAAAATATAAGTAGTACATTATTTGCATAATAATATATGAATTGGTCAAAAGTTTAACTTTTTAAATTCAATAAATTTGTAGAAATATAATTTACTTACCACCTGTGTTTCATTTTTTATAGTCTGGTTGCAAAAGTAGCAGGGAAACGATCGGTTATTACTCATAATAATTTTTAGTTCACACAATCGCACAAACACTCATAAACACCTTGCCAGACTTTAACAAACTAATTTATCAGTTAGCTAAGTTTATCAGAAGGTTTTGCATATAAGATATGATAAGATAAATTTGGAAAACAACACAAACGCTCTCGAACGGCAATGATATCGGTGTGATATAATAAATGAATTTCCTGAACGGTCTTTAACGATAAGGAAATTATTTCCACTCAAAACTTGAACGTTCTAGCTCCATTTTTTAATAAGTATTTGTACATTTAACAGACGATAGGCACATTTGTTTGCTAAACTTAGTATTATCATAATTTTCATAATAATATAATATTAGATTTAAAAGCATTACTTTCTAAGCCTTTTTATTCTTCCTTATAGCATGGCTATAGCATTTCTTTATACCATACGATTGAAAAAAAATGGCGTCAACGACGGCTGGGGAATAACTATCGATGATAATTTTGGCGAGGTCAAGACGTAGCCTGTACTCTTCTTTATTTTTTAATGGCACTTACTGCAAGTTGGTCTTGCAATTTATTTTTATACCGGGTAAAAATTATTTTTAAATGGTGTAGTTTAAATTTTTTTATGAAGTGAGAAAACACAATTTTGTGGATGTACTTAGATTTGTGTGTCTAAAAACGTTCTACCCTTTTTTATCTGTCTAAAATTAGTGTTAATTTTTGACAAGTTTTATATCAATTATTAGTAAATGATGTCTAGAGATTAACTTCCCCAAAATTATTATCGATTGTCATTCCCCAGCCGTCTTTGATACTGTTTTTGTTTCGACTATACGGTTGTAAAACGAACATATTTATGTGTACCATGGCGCATTCGCCATTATCTAAACAAATAAATATAACGAAAATATAAAGCAAATTGTTTTCAATAGCAAAGTGTACAGAATTCAATGTAGTAAATAGTAGTAACAAAGTATGGTGGTAGTAGTAGTAGTAATCAAGTCTACCATAGCAGTCAAAAATAATGCAGTACGAGTAACAATATACAGCCAAACTTAATTCAAATATATTAAATAAAAAAAATTAAATTATTTTTTTATTAAAGATTTTTTTTTATTATTTTGCAGAATTTCATTTAAATTCCTTTATATGCTGCTGAAAAACCTATAATAAAATAAATGGCGTCAAGATGGTTTGTAATTTATAACCGATGACATTCCCCATATAATCTACATACAGGGTGACAATTTGAAAACGAACAGTATTTAATATTACCTCTTCATATGATAGTATGAAAATTTGGCGAAATATGTCAATTTACATATCAAGGGGGACAATTTTTGAGGCATTTGTTGTCGTGTTACTTTCAACCCTTTGACCCCCAGGGCACCTACTCCTAAAATTTTAAATGGCAACCCCTATTTCTTTTACCATTTTTGTATTCCTTATAAAATTCTCAAAAAAATAATGCAGTTTATGTAGTTCATTAAGCTGACATGAATTTTACTTTTATAACAATCATCAATATGTTTTGAAATAATTTTCATGAAATGAGCACAACACAAATGTATGGACATTAGATCGTCGGGATATTTAATGATCTTTTTGGAGATATCAAAACACATTTTCAAATGTGACAATAAATCCATTTTATTACATCCGTTGCAAATTGCATTTAGATTTGCAAAACTGAAATCTGTTACAATTGCTCCAATCATTGGCCATTTTTTTGTGTTAATTTGTTAATCGCAAGTTTAAAAAAAATTGCAGCCTTTATGTTTGCATGAGGCATGAAACTAAAATATATTTTGTTTTTTATTATATTTTGTATAATTAATTACTATTATACAAACATTGTTGATATATTTTTGAATTCGACTTATTAACAGGTAAGAACTCTAATAGGGATTGGCTTTCTGTTCACTTACAATATACTTATTTAATTTTTCAGGAATTGTAGCGGATCCTCAAAATGGCTACAATATTTAAATTCTTGATGTAGTATCATAGAACAGAACCCAATGGAAGATTTACTGTATATTAGGATGGATAAGTTGAGTATCTCTTCTGGAAGCTTATTTGTTTCTGGGGAGACCTTAACTAATTTCTCAGATTTTTTGTAAGTATCTTGCCTTAGTATCTTTGAATAGCTCCAAAAATGCTTCTTGCGCATTCTCCTCCGAAGTTATAGGGAAAATATTAACGAGCGAATAACGGCATAAACAAATTAGCAGCTGAAGGAAGTGCCGAAAACTAAGTCGATAAAAGAACACGCCACTGGGTGATTAATAATATTAAAAAAACTATTCTGAAACGGATTTGTTGGTCCACTAGTTGTTAAATCAATTGAATCTATTATCTATTATTTTTTTAAAATAAATATAAAACGGGCTTTTCTTAACTAAAGGATCTGTAGCCTCAATATAAATTTCTTCTGTTTCTATATGAGTTTTACATTTTGTATTATTATAATTTATTTGATTGGACATAGTTGACAATTTTGTATAGGCATTTTTGAGTGTTGCGTCATAATGAAGTGTCATTATCATCATGTAAATGTTGAAGAACCATACTGATATATCATTTATATTATTTAGGTTAATACATAGTGCTATTAAATCTTTCATTAAGCTGACATGAATTTTACTTTTATAACAATCATCAATATGTTTTGAAATAATTTTCATGAAATGAGCACAACACAAATGTATGGATCGTCGGTATATTTAATGATCTTTTTAGAGATAGGTATCAAAACACATTTTCAAATATGACAATAAATCCATTTTATTACATCCGTTGCAAATTGCATGTAGATTTGCAAAACTGAAATCTGTTACAATTGCTCCATTCATTGGCCATTTTTTTATGTTAATTTGTTAATCGCAAGTTTAAAAAAAATTGCAGCCTTTATGTTTGCATGAGGCATGAAACTAAAACATATTTTGTTTTTTATTATATTTTGTATAATTAATTACTATTATACAAACATTGTTGATATATTTTTGGATTCGACTTATTAACAGGTAAGAACTGTAATAGGGATTGGCTTTCTGTTGACTTACAATATACTTATATAATTTTTCAGGAAATTCTTGATGTAGTATCATAAAACAGAACCCAATGGAAGATTTACTGTATATTAGGATGGATAAGTTGAGTTTCTCTTCTGGAACCTTATTTGTTTCTGGGGAGATCTTAACTAATTTCTCAGATTTTTTGTAAGTATCTTTCCTTAGTACCTATCTTCGAGTAGCTCCAAAAATGCTTCGTGCGCATTCTCCTCCGAAGTTATAGGGAAAATATTATCGAGGGAATAAAGGCATAAACAAATTAGCAGCTGAAGGAAGTGCCGAAAACTAAGTCGATCAAGAACACGCCACTGGGTGATTAATAATATTAAAAAAAAACTATTCTGAAACGGATTTGTTGGTCCACTAGTTGTTAAATCAATTGAATCTATTATCTATTATTTTTTTAAAATAAATATAAATCGGGTTTTTCTTAAATAAAGGATCTGTAGCCTCAATATAAATTTCTTCTGTTTCTATATGAGTATTACATTTTGTATTATTATAAATAAATAAATAAATAATAAATAAATAAATGCCTTTATTGTCAAAAAATTTTTCAATTTGTAGACAAAGGTAAACTAACAAACAAAGTAAAAAAAACAAGGTACACAAACAAACAAACAAAAGATAATACAAAACATTATACAAATAATATTGTCAGTCTTATTATTAAAATAAACATTTATAAATGTTTATAATGTCAAAGAACGAAAAATAAAACTAATATTCAAAAATATTTAGCTAGTTTATAGTAAAATTTCAGTGACCTCTAAATAAATTCATTTCGATGTCATTAGTAAATACAGCAATAGCAAACATTAGACCAGTGTTTACAACATCAAATTTGATTTTCAAAATATAATTCATTTACGGCGTAGAAAGCCTTGTCTAGTAAATAAGAGTTCAATGCTTTGCGAAATGAAAAAAATTATGTTATGGATTTCATTTCAAATGGCAGGTGATTGTGCATTTTTTTCGAGTTGTATAATATTGAACTTTTAACTAACTCTGAGCGTGGGGTAGGTAGATAAAGATCTTGCTCCGCGTTCCTGAGTGGATAAGTGTGAGATGGCCTTTCTTGAGAAGCTGATACATGTTTACGTATTAGGCAAACGGATTCAAATATAAATAAGGAAGGAAGAGTCAATATTTTTAATTTTTTAAAAAATCCCGGCAATGAGTTCTGCTGTTTAGTCTCAGTGAATATCGAACAGCTCTCTTCTGGAGCCTGAAAATGCGGTCAAATTGAGTCGCACAACACGTACCCCAGAATGGAAGGGCATACCTGAGGTGCGACTCAAAAAGTGCATAATAAACAGTTCTAGCCACTGACAAGTTAAGCTCCTTAGAAACAGACCTTAATGCAAAACAGGCAGAGCTCAGTTTTTTCGACAAAGCTTCGATATGTATGTGCCATTTCAGAACAAGCCCTAAGAATTTTACAGACTTCACGACGTCAATGGTGGTGTTGTTAAGTACAAAAGGCTGCAACGAGTTTTTATACGACAAAGCTTTAGTTTTAGAAATGTTGAGACTCAGGAGGTTCGAATCGCACCAAGATTTAATGGTGATTAAGTCATTTGATATAATCCCATGAAGTGCCGTGATGTCCTTGTTGCTCCAAGTGAAGCTAGTGTCGTCCGCAAAAAGACATATTTTGCCACTGATGTTTATGTTAGCAATGTCGTTAATAAAAAAAAGAAACAAAATAGGGCCTAGTATGATGATAGGTCCAAAAATGCCAATCATTGGCCATTTATTTCCTTCGCCAAAAAACTCTAAAATCATAAAATCATTTAATTGTTTTTGGCATAATGCGACGAAGAAACGATCTCAAATATTGGAACGATTTTTCCAGCTGTCTTCATCGGAATCACAATGAATAAACGCGCTTCATACCAATAGAAGTGAATGGCTTTCGAACGACCGTACAAGTTGCGTCAAAATATATTATAATAGGTCTCTACTATAAATCTTTACAGTAAATAAAAATGTAATTTCTTGAATATATTCTTGATGATCATGTTGCATTTTTAATAAATCTAGAATGTCGTCTTTATCTCGATGAAGGTAACTCTTAGCTCTTGATTTTATTTTACGGATGGTAGAGTAAGATTTAATTTCTTGCAGATTTCCTGACAATGCAATCCTTTTATTTGCATTCATAATACACTTTCGTTTAAATACTGATGGCTTTTTTTAGATGTTTTGCCTTTATACATTATACATTTCTCTTTCTATGCCCCTTACCTGTGATGTTATTGCCAACGTGACTAAAATTTAAACATGTACTATAAACATTTAATTGCAAGTTTTTAAGAAAATTTTTAAATTTTTCGCAGCTTTATATATGCATGAGTCATGAAACACAAATATATTTTGTTTTTTATTATATTTTGTGTAATTAATGACTATTAGACAAACATATTTTTAACATGTATGAACTGTAATAGGGATTGGCTTTCTGTTTATGGACAATATCCTTATATAATTTTTCAGGAATTGTAGCGGGTCCTCGACATGGGTACAATATTTAAATTCTTGATGTAGTATCAACCAGGAAAGAAATAAAATATATAAAAATAGAACTTCCTTCCGGAAAGAGGCCAGAAACATGGTACTAGAGCAATGGCAGACAGGATGGGAAGGATATAGCGGATGGACAAAGCTTTCATACCCAATATTAAAGATTGGATAAAATGCGACCAAGCAAACACGGATTACTACATCACGTAAGTCATGACTGGCCATGGAGTATTTGGCGAGTATCTGCACAGGATCCGCAAGGCTGACTCTCCTACATGCTGGTATTGCGAGGTGTCAGACTCGGCTAACCACAGACTATTTGAGTGTCACGCGCACGAAGATTTACGGGAAAACGCAGAAACAGTATGTGGTACGAAGATTACTAGAGTAAATGTCGGAAACCTTCTAACATCATCGAATGAAAATATCGAAGCGATTTGCGGCATGTTAAGGAACATTATGAAGAAAAAGGCGAAGGACGACAAAGACAAGATCTTGGTACAGACAAGTCCAACATAGAAGAATGATAAGTCTCTAATCTTGATGAAATGCCTTCGGCGGTACCGAGATTGGCGAGCTTAGAGCACAGATAGGTTTTTAGTGGGTAGACCCTCTCGCATGAGGGAGATCCCCACACTCTGGCCCTAAAGGCGTTTCCCATCTATAAAAAAATGATGTAGTATCAAAGACATATTTACAGAACCCACTGAAAGATTTACTGATATATTGGAATTGGATTAGTTGAGAATCTCTTCTGGAACTATATTTCTTTCTAGAGAAACCATAACTAATTTCTCAGAATTTTTGTGAGCTTTAGTATCTTCGGATAGCTCCAAAAATGTTTCTTTTGCATTCTCATCCGGAGTTACAGGGAAAATATTAATGAGGGAATAACGGCATAAACAAATTAGCAAGGAAGTACCGAAAACTAAATCGATCAAGAACATGCCACTGGGTGTTTATTATTAGTCTGGTGGACCTCTATATTTACTGAAATTTTGATCTTGTTAGGATGTATAGTTTTCGAGAACATTGGAAAAACGGCATAAACAAATTAGCTGCTGCAGGAAGTACCGAAAACTAAGTCCAGCATACTGCATCATCTAGATCTATGGATGAAGGGGTTAAATAGGTCCAGCAAGGTAGTGATATTTTTGATAAAGAGGTGGAAAAACATGTAATACAGCTCTCAAAGCAGAAGACGAGAGGTATGGTCATTTCTAAATATCGTCCAACTCAATCCATTGGATATAGACAACTTAGAGGAATCTCCGTAGGAGAATCGATTGGTGAAATGAATACAAATATCTGATCCTCAACTAGGAACTAGAAATAATGAGTAAATATGTAAGTGAGATTATTGCGTAAAGTGAGGTAAAGGAATCTACAACTGTTACTATTAGTTGAACAGCTAAATTTTAGAATGTTATAAAAAACAAAATAAAACTAGAATTATAAAATATTTTTTCTATATTACTTAACAGTTTGTACATTTTTACAGTTCTTTTATTTTACAAAATTCGGCTATAACCTAATTAACTTAAAACATTCACACATAATTACAAACATATAAACAACAAAAATAATTTGTTTCGAGATTTGGTTAACAATTCAATTTGAATGATAATATTCTTTCGTAAACGACTAAAAGATTCTAATTACACGATATTATTTACTTACAGCTATTTACAAAAATAATTTAGAAAATAAAATACAAAAGAATCATGCTATTCGTATGGCTAAAAATGGCAACGAATCTAATCCTATTCTAATGAGCACTTGTGGATCGGTATATTCACAAAATATTTACACAATAATTAGTTAAGTCAGTCTCTAAAACAGGTAGCACAGCCTAACCAAAATAAGCCTAAATTCAAAATACTAAAGTCTTAATTCGGTGTCCACAACGGACTTGTTTCTATTTTGAGCTGGTTGTCGTGACATTACGTGGTGAGTGCTCAGACCGGGAGCTACAAGGGGTGAAATTGAGGGTGATTTAGTGGCTAGTGGTGACAGGGATGGTGAAAAACTCGGCGACATAGCTGTTGACGTACTAAATCCTGTACCCGATGCGTCGTGATTTATAGGCGACCTTGGTAACATCATCATCTGATTATGACCAACTGAACCGTGATGACCGGTTCCATTACGTGAATTTAATATTGGCATAGCTATTGATCGAGGTGCCACGCTTGTAATTAAAGGAGGTGGAATATTTTTTACAGGAGCTACTGACACTTTACTACGTACACTAGAATTTCCACTAGCGCCGCTATGCACAGACGCAGTGTCATCTTTCAGTCTTGCAATCTCTGAAAAAACATGAGCCAATGGTTGATATTGTGGACCCCAGTCCAGCAGGTAGTCCCAGTTATAACTACCAGCTAGTTCTTCCTCACTATGTACAATAGAACTTAATGACCCATTCATTGAGGGTTGATGAGATACAGCTGGGACCTCACCGTAACCGCCTATGGCCATAACATGATCCATCGATGGACCCAAAGCCGAAGCCGATACTGCTCCGCCTTCATCCGCAGAACTGGCTCTATCACTACCTGCCACATCGTTCAATTTAGCATAAATCAAATTAGTAATGTCATTATCATTTGCTGTTTCTTCATCAAATATATGTAAACTGTCTAATGGCACTGTTTGGTGATGGTGTGATAATGGTTCTTTGTTGCTTCTGGGATCTGTACACAGTCTAGATACCGCTTGCGGGTGAGCACCTGAGTTATCCACTATTCCTAATCTGGCTAGGTACTCTTGTGTATTTCTAACAGATACAGTGGATAAGGAATCTCCATCGTTATTTCTTTGCAAAGGGCCCTCGTTAATCATTCTAATTTCTTCGTCTTCACCGTCTTCGCCGTCTTCAGCGGACCCTCTTCCGCTTGATCCAGATTGTTCTGAACCTGATAATTCGGAAGTTGTAGCAGCTCCGGAATTGGAACTGGCAGGATGACCTCCTCCGTAGGGGGGAATTTCATCATATTTAGGCGGCGCAAACTGGTTTTGCCCTGCAGGCATTTGTGATCCTCCACCACGAATAGGGATAGTGTCAAAGGCACTAGGATCTACGTAGTTATTTGAGGATGATACAGTCTCAGTGCTTAAATTTGGTTTATTTATTTTTCTATTACGCTTATTTTTCATATGAATAAAAATAAACGCAGCTCCAAATATAATTAATAGTAAAGTTATGGATATTAATAAACCTAATGCCCAATCAGAAATACCACCATGTCCATTAGCACCTTGTTTATTTGCTAAATTCGTTCCAGCATCAGCTAGGGGATCTAATATTATTTCAATAACCGTCATGTTAGTTAGGGAACCTTGCTTGCCAGAACTAGCTGTAACAACTAAACTTATTTCTCTCCCTGAAATTACTGCCTCCGAGTCGTCAAATTTCTTTTTTAGTAATACTGCTCCAGTTGTTCTATTTATTTTAAAATAACTGTGTTGCGTTGTTAATTGGTAAACTACTCTTCCATCGGGGCCTTTGTCCTTGTCAGTAGCAACAACATGACCTACTATGTAACCAGTCGGAAGACCCACAGATGGTGCTAATGAAAATCTGTAAGTTCTTTCCGTAAATTGAGGATAAAATTCATCTTTTCCCTCTATTTCTATGTAAACTTTTACAACAGTGGATTTACCACCGGCGTCGGTGGCTTTTATAGCAAAATTGTATCTATTTCTTTGCTCGTAATCAAATACAACACCAGTTGTTACGAGACCAGTGTCAGGATCAATATGAAAAAGTTTCCAAGAATTTTCTTGTCCTCCGTAATTGCGAGAGTCAACGAATGTGTAATTGACTTTGCCAAAAAGACCTTTGTCAAGATCAGTAGCATGAGCGGTAAATACAGCTGTACCAATAGCTTCATTTTCCCCAACTGACTCCATGTATTCAGTAAATGGAAAGATTGGAGCATTATCATTTTCATCTTGCAAAAATATTGATAAGGTACATAAAGAACAAAGAGGTATAGCTCCATTATCACAAGCTCTTATGACAAGACTATATTGTATATTGCCCTTGTCATAGTCAAGAGTTTTGTTAACAACTACAACACCAGTCTGCGAATGAATATGAAAACATCCATCTATATTTCCAGAAGTGATATCATATGAAATTTCAGAGTTTACTGTTCCTTCTTGATCGGCATCGGTTGCTGTTATTTTTTCTATTGAAGATCCAATAGACAAACTTTCGCTTATTGTTATTTCGTAATCTGGATCGGCAAATACTGGAGAATTATCATTAAAATCCTTAACTGTTATGATAATGTGAGTAACTAGCGAACCTGCATTATCAATAGATATGTTCAGATCATACTCATCTTGTAGCTCTCTATCTAATGGTTTGACCAGTGTTAATGCCCCTGAAGGATTTGCGATCTCGAAGACTTTGTCAACGTTTCCTTCAATAATTTTAAAATTTGATGCTTGACTCTGACTGTTAGGTTTTGCTAAATATATAAGCGCATGTCCCGTTTTGCTATTCTCAGAAACAGCTATCGCATATTCCTTTTTGTACCCATAGTTAATACTTATACGTTTGCTGCTTCTAATGTGAACTGAGGCCAATGAGTGAAGCGATGGTTTACCACTATCTTCGGCTTTAATAGTTAGATAAAAGTCTTGCATATTCGCGGATATATTTGAAACGTTAACTTTTATAATTCCATCAGACGAACCAATAGTAAAACCAGTTGAGGGATTAACAATCGAATATGTCACTTTGGAGTTCATTCCGGAATCAGCGTCTGTTGCATTCATTGTAATAAGATCGATTAACGATGAAGATTGAACATCTGAAATAAAAAAAATATATATATTTTTAAAAAATATACATAAAAAAACATCACAAAGAAGTTAAAAAAATAAAATTTAATCATGCAAGAGAGAACAAGTAGAGAATGCCTACCTGGTAAATTGATTTCGTATGCACATTGTTGGAACTGAGGTGCGTTATCATTGACATCAATTACAACTATTGTAAGTATCGTCTGAGCAATGTGGATTGTGTCAGAAGCAACTATAGTCAGCTTATATTCTGGCCATGATTCAAAATCAAGTTTCTTCTTTAAAAATATTTTACCGCTAAAGCGGTCAATACTGAAGAATTCCAGATAGCCTTTGTCGCCATTTGTGAGATTGTAAGTTAATTCAGGATATGTGTCAACGTCGTTGGCAGTTATAGCTGTTAAAAGACTGCCTACTTCGGTATCTTCACTAACGTTAATAGTGGTATGTGGTGGAAATGTAGGCTGATTGTCATTAACATCAACAATATTTATTTGAATGCGTGCTGTGCCAGTCATCTGGGGAATTCCTTCATCAGTTGCTAAAAATAATAATTAGATAAGTACAAAATATAAAATTACCACTATGTAGTGCAAGGAAGACCAAAATCATCGTTGAAAAAAATATGAAAATATTTTTATACAGACGTTGCTTGATTTATAATGATGTATATCTTAAAAATATCTTGTTGTATACAGGGTGTCCCAAAATAAAGTGATGATAAAATTTTAAGTTTTTTTTTTAAATTGTGCCCCTCATTTTTCTGTACATAATTGGATTCAGCATAAAATTCTGCATATAGATTACATACATATATTATACAGTATTTTTATTCGAAGCACTATGCGATGTTGCCATTCTATTTCATATTTACTAAATAAAACTTTGGTTAAAAATATTATATCCGAAAAGTGGTTAAAAACTGGAGAGAATATAACTTTATAAATCTTAGCTATATTTTCCTAAGGGTATTTTTATAGCATCGTCAAAATCGCAATATTTAAAACGCTATATATCTATTTTTTAAATTCAACACCCTGTATATTATTTTTCGTTTAGATACAGAATTAAAAAATGAACATTAAATGAACTAATTAAAGTGTTCTTAAAATATTAGCGGTTTTACAGCTGTATTATGGTGCGTTTAGACTTGAGCACGCACTGATCCTCCGCGAATGCTCAAGGGTAAACGGCTGTGCGTGCACGCTCACTCTGAATTTGTCTGTGCGCGAGCAGCCGCGAACGTGAGCCGTCTGGTCTCGGTTTTTGGTCCGTGCTCAAAGGGATTTTATGTGTGGGCGAACGCTCAATTTGGACCGGCAATTTGTTTTGTCTGCGTTCGTGCGTGCGTGTGTGATTTTTTTTTCGTTTTCTTTATTAAAATTATGGAGTGGATCAATGAATCTTCGTTATTATTAATTGAAAAATATGAAAAGTTGCCTATATTATGGGATGTTAAACATTCTTTGTATTATTAAAAAATAAAAAAAATATAACGCATGGCAAAACCTTGTAAATAAACTTAATATTGAATATGTCGATATTAATGAAATTGCTATTCTAAAATTTGTATCTTTTGTTCGTAATTTTTGGTGTTATTAAATTTTGTAAATATTCAAAGTCGGGTCTGGTCATTCTTGTAAAGTTTTTAAACTGATCATAGCCGTCCTCAGACACTAAATTGTTGCAGTAAATTATATCGATTTCTAAAAATCTGGGTCTGCCACAAGCGACGATGATTTCGATTTTTCTTCTTTTTAATAATTAAGCTGTGCATAACAATGACTGCAGCCTCGACTATTTCTTGGTCGTCCATTATTTTCGCCAACACATAACTCTGCTGTGCGCGCACAAATGGATCACTTCATTCGTCGAAAAATAAGCTTTTAATTTGAACGGAGCCGAGAGTGCGAACGAATGCCGTGCGCGCACGCTCAGCTCGTGCGTGCTCAAGTCTAAACGCACCATTACACATATGGTTTTCAACGGTAACATACCACTTAGTCAGCAAAGTGTTGTTACATTTAGGGAACATTAGGAACAGTTACGTATTTACGTTTTATTGCTTCTTATTAGGGAAAAGATGGGCCTGGTAACGTAACAACGACGTCACCTAAAACACATTTCCCTTAAAGGAATAGAATGCTCACTGGGTAGACAATGATCATTAGGTGGATCTGATAAAAATTTACCGTTGTAAGAACAATATCTAATATAATATACCGAATACAACTTGGGAACAATTTGAATAACAAAATGTTAATTTTTGACATTGAACATATGACGAATAATAATATACTGGATGTTGTATTTAAAAAAAATGAAATATAGCACTTTAAATATGTTAGCAAAGCCATAAAAATTACCCTGTAGAAGATAATACAAATTTTCCTTCATGGGTGTATTCTGTTAATATTTGTTGTTAAAAAATGTAGCTAAGTATTAATAAAGCAAAATTCAGTCTAGTTTTTAACCACTTTTCGGATATAGTGGTTTTAATTAAAGTTTCAGTAAATGTGAAATAGAATATAGTACCACCAGTAAATCTACATATATAAAATGCTAATGTTTATCTGTGTCGTCTCTACTGAAGTAACGACTTGCTCTAAAAAGTTGCTTTTTTACTAAAAGCTAGCTAATTGGCTCTTCTAAAAACTGTCGTCGCCGGATTTTTTGTTTTTCATTTAATTAAACAAAAAATAATTTTTTTCTGATGTCGTGGCGGATGCGCCAGGCTTCAACTACCTAGTATGAAATAGAATGGCAATTTTTTAGCACAGCCGTCAAAAGAAAATAATTATATACTATACTATACAGAGTTTTATGCTGAATCGAAATGTGTACAATGGGGAGTGCAGTTAAAAAAAATCTTAAAAATTTATCATAACTTTTTTTTGGGACACCCTGTATACGAAAAAATATTTTTAGGATATGCCCCTTTATAAAACTATGGAATATCTGTATAAAACTTTTTTTTATATCTTCGACAACGACGACGATATTGAACTTCGTCGCGCTAATTTGTCACCCTGTATATTACAAAAAAAAATTACCTATTATTGTTATTCGATAATTGTCCCTAATTTCTCTGTCTAAGACGGTGTTTGTTCTGATAATTCCACTGAATGCTGGTTCAATTTTAAAAGCATTATCGTGATTACCATCGACAATATGGTAAAGAATTCTTGAATTTTGACCCTGATCAGCATCAGATGCTACTGCTTGTAAAACAAATGTTCCTAGAATTAAGATTATTTCATTAGCAATTAAGAATATCATATTTTTTATAATTTGTTATTACCTTTTTTATCGCCTTCCCATACAGAAGCTGTGTATTGTTGTTGTGTAAATTTGGGCGCATTATCGTTTTGGTCAGTGAGTTTAATAATTACATCGCAGTATCCGTGCAAGTTGGGATTTCCATCAGTTTTTGCTTCGACCACTAAACGTATGTCATGTTGTAACTCGTAATCAAGAAATTTCGAATTTTTGACCTGGATCATTCCTGTCTCGGAATCGATAGAGAAAATATTTTCTTCATTGCCGGTTCCAAAAGAATAAACTATTTTTTGACGCCGACCATCAGTTCGTACTGCACTAACTTGGGTAACTTCTCGGAATTCCTCTATATTTTCTGGCAGTGTTACTTCATAAGTCGTGTTTTGAAAGCGAAGGTTGATCGAGCCTTGAGGTAAGTCTCCAACAATAATTTCAATCAGCCCAATCGAACTTTTTGGAGGATTCCCTTTATCAGTTGCCATTACGTTCAAATAAATAACTTTTCCATTGCTACTTGCCAATGATTGTGTAGCTGTTACACCTCCTGAATTAGGATCGATACGAAATTTTCCATAACTTCCATCGTTAACTAAACTATAAACAATTTCCGAATTAATTCCTTCATCGATATCAGTAGCATTAACTTTTAATATTTTTTGTCCGGGCTGAATATACGCTGTAACTCGTTCTTGAAACGGGTAACTACTAAAAACTGGCTTATTGTCGTTAACATCCATGATATACACCGTAACTGGGACTTTGGTTGATCTTGCATTATACTTTCCACTATCAGTGGCAACTACCATAAAATTATATTCACTCTTACGTTCTCTATCAAAAAGACTAAAAAAAAAGAAATGTACCTATTACAATCAAGTAATATTGGTGAGTACGATATCATATACCTGGTGCGTCTCAAAAGTGCCTCACCCCTATAACTTGTCTTATTTTTTGAAATAAAAAAACGACATTTTGTATGTTATAAAAAGCATATGACATAAATTAGGATTGGTTGGCGTATTCAATTGTTTTCGGTCACTTCCTGTCTCACCGGAAATTACTACAACTTTTGATTTTTAAATAACATCTTCGGTATTTTTGTCCTTTAATCGATAGAAAATGACACTTGAATGGCATATCACATGTCAACTTTCGACATTTTCAATTAAAAAACATGGTTTTTAAATTTCAATTTAGAGTGCCATAGCCATAAATGTAACGATATTTTGACTCGAAATTCCAAGTGTATGGTACCAAATTATTCGTAAAAATATACTTTTTCTAAATATGTTAATGAGCCACCCTCGTTCCATTTGAAAAAATTGAGATATGATTAAAAATTCGATTTGGGCATATTTTGAATGGCGAGGATATGACACTAAAAGCATTAGACGATCAAATCTATTTTTCCAAGACTCCTTGATTAAAAATTAGTATTTTTAACACAGCCATGACACTCTAGATTGAAATTTAAAACACGATTTTTTTAAGCGAGAATGTCAAAGTTGACATATGATGTGTCATTTTCTATCAATCCAAGCAAAAATTACCGAGGGTGTTTTATTTTCGATTCGATTTAAAAATCAAAAATTGTAGTCATTTCCGGTGAAACAGGAAGTGACTAAAAACAATTGAATACGTCAATCAATCCTAATTTATGTCATATACTAACATAAGAAATCTCGTTTTTTTTATCTGAAAAAATAAAAAAGTTATAGGGGGTGAGCCAGTTTCGAGACGCACCCGGTATATTCTACGTTTTTTAAATTGCTTAAAATAAATATTTTTAATAAATATAAACTTACCCAGCAGTAGTAATTACGCCTGTTTTATTGTCTATTCGAAACAACCACTGACTCTCATTTGCTAAGAAATATATAATTTTAGCATTTAAACCTGTATCAGCGTCTGATGCCTGAACTTTCATGATTGATGTGTCAATTGGTGTATCTTCAAAAATTGTTGAATTATATTTTGAGAGATCAAACTTTGGATCATTGTCATTTTGATCTTCAACAAAAACAGTTAAGTTGCAATAGCCCTGCATGGATGGCACTCCATGATCTTGTGCTGTTATGGTTAATTGATATTTAGCATTGCTTTCCCGGTCCAAAGGCTTGGCTGTAAGCTCTCCCGTATTTGAATTAATGCTAAATTTGTTTCGAATATTTCCACTCGTTATAGAATAAGAAATTTGACCATTTAAACCACTGTCTATATCATTAGCAACTACAGTATGAAAAATAGAGGTGTCACTGTTTTCTGGGATGGCCAAGCTTTGACAAGATCCAGCTTGAAATTTAGGTGCGTGATCATTGATATCAAGAACTTTGATGTGTAATTTGGTCATATCAAATACTGGTGCGTCAGATGAAGAATAATCATTTACGTAGATTGGCAGAATATAAGAGTTAATTAATTCCCTGTCTAGAAGCTTTTTGGTATATATTTTTCCACTGGGAGTTAGGATTTCAAAAGTATCGTCAAAAATTCCTGGAGGTATAGTAAAAGATATGTTACCACCTAGAAAAAAAGAATATATTGAATAAAAAGAATTTGCAGTTAAATAATCGACAAAATCTAACTTCACTTACTCTGATCAGAAATTACTCTAGCATTAATTTGTGTGACTAAAGTCCCAATGCCCGCATTTTCGGTAATATTAACCTCATAATCGGATTCTAAAAATCTTTGTGGATTTTCTAAAACGTCTTGAACAATCAATTTCAACTTCATATTAGCCTGTCTTGTAGGTTTTCCATGATCAGTTGCAGTTATATTTAACATATAATATTTTCTGTCTAATATCAAAGGTTTTGCTAATGTTAATACTCCTGTATCATACCCGAGAGAGAACATTGAGGCATCGTTGTTGTTTGAAAGGATATAGGTCACTCTTCCATTGTCGCCAGAATCATCATCGACCGCTAATATATTAGTTATTTTCATTCCAAAAGTAGTACTTTCGCTTAATAAGGCATTTGATGTTTGCGGTAGAATAAATCGAGGTGTATTGTCATTAAAGTCCGTTACAATCATTTGAACGGTTACATAGCTGCTCAAACTTTCAGATTTGTTGATGGGTTGATCGGTTGCCCCAACAATAAGTATGTGCTCCTTTATAGTCTCATAATCAAGAGGTGCTGTCAATATCAGAGTTCCTGTTAAGGAATCGATAACAAAGGAACTGGCGTTTGGAAATTGACTTACAACCGAGTATCGAATTTCCCCATTTTCTCCACTGTCAACATCTGATGCGGTAAAATTATAGATTGACGTTCCAACTTCTGTGTTTTCACTTATCATGACTGTAATAGGATCTTTAGGCCATTTGGGAGGATTATCGTTTGTATCTAGTATTTCAATTTTCACTGTGATAGCGCTACTTTGTGGATTGTTCATAGTCCTCGTATCTAAGGCGCGCACTTCCAGTTTGTACTCCGATTGTAATTCTCGATCTATCTCTTGAGCAACAACTATTTTTCCTGTATTTCTCTCAATATCAAATACGTTAGAGGAATCAAAAGACATTGTGGTAATTGTATAAGTAATATGATTTCCTGTACTATCTGGAATAAAGTTATCTTCTTCTTGGGAACTCGTTGTAGCTACCGATCCAACAACCTAAAAAATACAGTACGTAAAAAATATATTATTTACAGAAGAAAAAATTGGTATTTTACTTACGTAAAAGACGTATTTTAATTTTGGTTAACTCTAATGAAATTACCTGTCCAATTTTTGAATTCTCCTTAATTCGAAAGATTAAGCTGGAACTTGTAAAAGTCGGCCTATTATCATTGAGATCCAGAACTTCAATTCTTAACATTCGGATGGTCTGTTTGGGAGGCGTACCACCATCTGTCGCCACAATACCTATCCTGTATATTGTTTTCTCTTCATGGTCTAATACAACTTTAGTCCGAATAACACCGGATATTGGATGAATACTAAACGTTTCTAATCCTTCCGAGTCTTTAAGAAAAGAATATGTTATGGAAGAGTTGTATCCACTGTCTCCATCTAAAATTAAATTGAAAAATATATTTGAAATATTTATATTATTACGAAATAATATAAAACCCATTAAATCATTTAATTTAATATTACCTATAGCTCGTATTCTAACAACTTCTGTTCCAGGACTTTGTTCCTCTCTAACACTAACAACGTCTTCTTGGGGATCCACTATTTCTGGAGCGTTATCGTTGATATCGAGAACCGATATTTTTATGGAAACTCGTGAACTTCGAGATGGCTGGCCCTGATCTTTAGCTTCAGCTACTAAGTCATAGTGTTCTTTGAATTCTCTGTCAAGTATGTCTCTCGTGGTGATTTCGCCTGGAAAAAATAAATTTTGTTAAATTAGTTGCGTTTAAAAAATGCAGACTTAAAAAATAGATTCTTGGATGATTTCCTGCTAGAAATTTACTACAAATCGAAAATATATGGACAAATGCAAACTATTTAGTACAAAATCTTAGACATATTTATTAGAGTTTTAATGTAAAAGATTTAGAGAGAATTCACAAAAATACTACCTTTAAGAAAAAAAAAAGAATCTACAAAATAAAAAGTGAAAAGCTGGTTTCCATTTGGATAAAACGCAATATCTTTATAAAAAATAACAACACTAATTTAGAGATTTCTCTTCCAGTGGAGAAAAAGCCAGACATTTTTAACTACCTAATAACACGACTCAAGGTATAGACGTTTTTTATAAAAATAATATTTTTCATATGACGACTTTAAACATAATAAGAAACAACAAATGAAAAAAAAACTAAAAATTTTAATAAAAACTACAATGTAATTATTATTGCAAAATAAAAACAAAATCACCACAATACACCAAAACACTTTTACTTTTACACTGGACGCGCGTTTCGCTAACCATGTTAGCATCATCAGCAGCTAATGCTAACATGGTTAGCAAAACGCGCGTCCAGTGTAAAAGTAAAAGTGTTTTGGTGTATTGTGGTGATTTAGTATTTTTATTTTGCTGTGTAACACCAAAGGTTCCAACCCTCAACTGTAATAGTAATTATTATTCACTATTAAAAGATGATAAATGTATATAGAGGGAGTGCAAATATTTTTAGGGGTGGTATATTTCGACCCCAAAAACACGTCTATGAGGCTTTTTCGCGAAAAAAAATGTTGAAAATCTGGAATTTTTTGATTTTTTTTTAAATTTTAGTTAAAAATATAATATTTTCATAATATGGCAACATAGGTAGTAAATTAAATTTACAAGAAAGAAAACTCATAAAAGATCCAGCGGTTCTCAACATGTAAGCAAAAAATCAATTATTTTGAAATCTTCAAAATAATATATCTGTGTATATCTTATACTTGTTTGAAAAACGATAAAGAGAAAATATGTTTCTTTGATCGAAATCTAACAGCCCTGAAAATATTTGCACTTATTTAAGACTCACATCCGCCGCTGTCGCGTGGTGTAACGTGAAAATAAATTAATAGTATTTTTTGAACTCAGGCATCAAACCGTTCTAAAATTTACTCGTATTTAGTTATTAAATTCTATATAAAAAATAATAATGTTTAAGTAATTTATCACCAATATCCTTGCATCGTTAATATATTGCGAATGAATCACCTAATCTAACTTTAATAGATTATAATCATTAATCAGGAGTAAAATGTTTTCATTCGCCCAATGCCAAGGTTGCTAGAGGGATCGCAAAATTCGCTCAGCTTTTAATAAGTAGTTTTAAATTACTGGTCAGCCGTTCGTCTTTTCGAATGAATCAAGAAGCAAAACCCTTATAAGCCTCTTACGATGCGGCAAGCCGGCTATCTGCTTGGCAAAATCAAGAGTGTCAAAATTAATCATGTGTTGTCGACGTGGAGTGGTTTGTGGTCGTCTCAATTTACGAATCTCCAAATGGAAAACGATATTTATACGAACTGAATTGGTCGGTTATAACTTTTACAATTGGTGCTATTTAAAACACGGTCGCCATCTTTATGATAAGAATAAGATTACTTCATTTAGGTACACTGACAAAAATACTTTTCAGAAAACATATTAAATATCTTGAGAATAGATATTAAGTTATCGAGTGCGATTAAAACTGTAACAATTTCTAGAATAATAATACACTTGACTCTATAAGTTATGTATTAGTAATCTAATGAAGCTTTAATATTACTAATAATATACAGGTTCCGGCAATAGTGTGTCGAGCATCTGTAGCTCCTAGAATATAAAACTTGGGAATTTTATTTAAGTGCAAACCTAAAGTATGTACTAAGATGTATTTCAGGAAAATATTTTAACTTCTATAGGATGGCTCAAAAAAGCGTGAGTGGATCTGGATGATTTTTTTGTATGGAACACCCTGTATATTATTGTATTTTTGCCTTCCTTTTAGATCACTTTACATAATCCTAAGTCATAAGTAAATATATTTCGATAATTTCAGGAATATTAATAAATAAATAAAATTTATATATTTTTCAGTCTTTCTTAAAAAAATATTAAAAATACAAGAACTGTTCTGAAATCAAAACTATATTAGTAATTTACTTTAGATAGTCTGTATTTAACTTTGCTATAAATACGGAAATCGCAAATCATACAGGATGTTTAAAATTCTACGCCAAACTTTCTAAAATATAAAATAATTTTTTTTTTTTTTAAATGAACATTATTTGTATTTAGAGTATTTCAAAAATTTTAACGGTTTCGCAGATATTCGCGGTTTTATATTTCATATTGCATTTCCCACATGAAATTTTTATCAGACACCCAATGATTTTTCTCGGGTAATTTACCATTGAACGCGTCATATGAAATAATACTGCGGGTATCTACAAAACTATTAAAAATTTTAAAATACTTTAAATACAAAAAATGTTCATTTTTTAACTCTCCACCTAATAAAAAGATAATATACAGTATGTTCCATTTAAAAACAAACAAAGAAAAAATATTTTATATATTAAAAAGTTTGGCGTAGAATATTGAACATCCTGTATGATTTACGTTTACCATATTTATAGCAAAGTAAGAACAGATCGTTTAATTTACATAACCTATTCTCCTCAAATTTCCCAAAATATTGCTTCTGTCGGGTGCATCCAAGGTAATCACAATAAAAAATATTTTTAACACAACGTAGGTTTCTTTATTTCATTTAAACTTTTTGTTATACTGTTGGCCAAAATATTACTTCTTCAACTTTGTTGACGACCCTGAGTTGTTACACTACACTAATTTATTGAAAGTTTCTTCAATAGTAAACATTTTAATTTGGAACACATATTTCGGAGAAACAAATTCACTGGTATTTCCAGTATATGTTCAAATAATCTCAACACACCTTATGATTTCTTAAAAATTATAGACGATAAAATACATTGTTTAGGTGAGATAGATTCATGTCTATATTTATTGCTTAACAAAAAATATTTTATAGTCATATAATAGAGTATTCCAATTGTAATTTCTTAACTTTTGGTCAAAGACACCGCAAATATATATATGTTAGCGTTAAAGTCCGATGTTCGGATAATATCGACATTACCCGGTTAATCTCGAGAAGAACACAAAACAACCAAAAACGAAACCAAATCCAAACATTAACCTGTTAATGTCGACATTAATTTGACATCTGACTTTAACCGTAACATATACACTAATATAGAATTGATCTCTGGTTATCAATAATTTCATAGGTACATATAGCATTTTATTAGATAAGGTTATTAAGGTAATCATTAATAATGTTAAATAGAGTTAATGTAATTCAGTTAAATACTTTCGTAATACAGGGCGATACACAGTGTGTGTAGGTTAGAGGTAGTTTTAATGTAGAATGTAGAATGTTTAGGAGGGGAGTTAAACACCGCGACCTTATAGATCTATTGTGTGTTCCCCTTTCTTGAGTTATAACGAGTTATAACTCATCATACAGTCTCAGGACTTTAAGAAAAGCCAGTATCTGAGACGGCTCCACAGAGGCCAGCTCTCCATCCTCGACATCAGACGTACCAAGGTTCATGACACGAATGGTCGTCGTCTCGGCGCACTCAGTGATAAGGTGTTCTGGTGTTTCCCCATTTTCTCCACAAAATCTGCATTCGCCGTTGTTTCTCAGTTTCAGCCTACTGAGGTGTTCGTTGAGGAGACAGTGTCCAGAAACCCCGTGACAATCCGAAGATTGTTTTTACTTAAATCAAGGAAAACCTTTGATTTTTCTCGGTCATAAGTTCTAAGGAACTTTTTCGAGTGTCTTAGACCGTTGGAGGACACCCATTCCAAGTTACGGATGGAGTCTTCCAGATTCTTCAGTTCCGCTTTCAGTTGGTTCCCGTTTGGAAAACAGAACGGTTCTGGTCCAGTTAGAGGAGTGTTCGCTCCTTTTCTAGCTAGATCATTTGCTTTTTCATTGCCTTCTATCCCTTGGTGAGCAGGCACCCAGAGTAGGAGGACTTTATTTTCTTTGCCTAATTTGTTGAGCTTCGCTAGGCATTCTTTGACCCACTTCAAATTGATGGTTACTGAGTTGATCGCCTTAAGTGCTGCTTGACTATCGGATAGGATGGCAATTTCCTGTTTTCGGTAGTTCCTATCTAAGATAAATTGTACGCATCTTTCGATAGCGCAAATTTCTGCCTGAAGGATACTGGGGTAGGTGCCCATTGGTTCGGAGTATTCAGTTTTCGGCCCAAATACTCCTATCCCTGTCCCTGCTTTGGTTTTGGAAGCATCCTTATACCACATGATTAGTTTTAATGTATGTTAGACTGCAGTGTTAAGCTTCATTCAGAAACTCAAAACTAGACTTGTGTCTAGCCTCAGCAGGCAACTATTAAGCCCGACCAATCACGTTAGAGTTTTTGACAAATACAAATGAATTAACACCCTCCAAATAATCACGCTAACCAACCTGACAAGGACAAGCTTAATAGTTGCCTGCTGGGGCTAGACACTTCTCAAAATTAGTGGAAATTAGTATTGAGACACACTGCTCATTTACGCCGCGCCGGCGCCGGTTTGAGGCCGGATGAGATCGGATATCTCGTAAGAGTCAATTTAGACACCCGCCAAGTCGGTAGTCTATTGGCAATGATATGGCCGGGGACCACGGTTCGGATTCCGCGTAAACAAAGTAGGCACCGTTCACATTAGCCTTCGCAGTAAAAAGGAGATGGTAACTTAAAATACTTTAATAGTTTTCGACAAAATCATGACTCAACTATGATCGTTGAAACTTGAGTTATCAACGTTGAAACTTGGGTTATAGATTAAGGAAAGTCGGTATATTCAATATGAAAGCAACCGATTGGATATATCACACAAGGACATAACT